ACTTTAGACCCATAGACTTTTTTTGGCTTGTAGACTTTGAAAACCAAACAATCAATGATTCAATTTTATATTTAATTAATTAATATTCCCATCTATGATTAACAGATCTGGGTCACCAGAAAGTTATGCCAGAATTGTTACTGTTTCTTCAGTTGTTGCMTTGGTTGGAACCATCAATTTTGAYGACTTACACAGCAAGTAGGAATTACTTACAGCTCAGCTCAGTCAGYGTTACCCCTTCTCTCCACTCAGYCTCTTTGTMTCAAACCTAGTCAGTTTCTGTTTCCTCTCCTTCTGTCTCCTTCACTTCTTCTTTTATTCTGTTTCTTGACTTGTCAACCTATATTCATATGATTTTTTTTATAATTTTTCACTTTTCTCACTCCAATTATAGGAAGCACTATAGTCCATCTACTGCATACAACCAAAGTAAATTGGCTAATATTATGTTCACATATGCCATGCAGAGAAGACTAACTAGTGAAAAGTGGTATATCACAGCTAATTGTCTTCATCCTGGAGTTGTTAACACTRAACTATTCCAGTATTATCCATGGGCCGTTCGTCAACCCATAGCAAAGCTTTTCTTTATGGTGTGTATGTAAAAGTGTCTTACACATAAGTTTATATCATTATAAGCTTCATGATTTACTTATAGTAGATGATGGCATAATAAAATAGTCTAGAGAGGTGCAAATCACAAAGMTGTGACCAGGCAGAGTAAATATTAGGAATGTGTAATACTAGAGAAACRAYTTTAGCTGGTAGCCACCACTTTGCGATTTTCAGAGTGTTAGTTAAKCAGAATAATGAACATTCAGTGGATCGGCTGTTAATATTAGAACAATTAATCAGTCAATCAATCTTATAAATTTATACACCCATCAATCAATCAATTAACCACAATGCAATCAATCAATGCAAATCAACCAACAAAGCCATACCATTAACATTTAATCAGTTTTGCAATAGATAATACTCCAGTGCTATCAGTATGATGTTGACACCAATTCAATTGATTTCTACAGACCCCTGAACAAGGTGCTTATACAAGTCTCTATGCCTGYCTCTCCCCTGARCTGGAAGGAARAGGTGGATTATACCTGGATAACTGCCAGGAATCACAAAGTAATGAGGAATCTTATGACCAAGATGTGCAGGAAAAACTGTGGGACATTAGCTGTGATTTGACTGTCCTAAACCAGTGGTGCTAGTTTGTACTTGTGGGCAAAAGTTTTACCACATATGTATGTAAATATCCAAACTATCAAAAAGACAATTATTATATTCATAAAGTCAAAAATGTCTAAATTTTATCAAGAATTGATCTGTCAGAAGAAAACAATTATTTCAAATAGGAATAATCAATTAATGTATTTTTATTCAATGTTCTGTACACAAAACAAAAAATTATATAATATATTTTGGTAAAGTGAAATTTGTGGAAAATAATGATTTGAGTTGTTTTACATAATACCAATCACAATATGATTTTTTAAAGTAATTTGTATAGTTAAATTGTATATTACCAAGTATGTGCTTTTGGATTTCTTTTGAGAACTGTGTGATGCAGGGATGACCTCATGAATTTTATGTGTGCTTTGATTGTTCACTGCCAATTAAGCTGTATTGTCCTTTGGCAAATCATCACATTTGACATTATCTGTGTCTCTGAAATCTATTTGTTAAAAATTTCCTATGAAATAACTAGGATTGGTGCATGTAAAAACCGTGTATGATATTCATATACTATAATAAAGATTGGTCAAAGTAATACRCAATGGTTGGTCTAGATTAAGACTGGATTAATCTTGATTATTTTGGTCTTGATTAGCAATTCTACTTGAGCAAAAAAAATTAGTGGAGCAGATTTACTTTTTAATAATTTGTACGAAATACTGTAGTAATTTATTTGTCATTCATGAATGTAAAAAAGCAAAATTCATTAGTAAAGACAGCCAAAACTAGTCTTGTTGTTGTTCTTTCTAAATCATTCCTCTCTTTTCATGGAGCAATAATCATTATAACAGAACTTCAAAGTGTGTTCTCCACTCCCTGGACAAGACGTTGTCTCAATTTCCAAATATCCTATAGGATAAAAATATGAAATGTTATGTTCTATAATGCATAGCAATATGCTTGTTTATTAACATACATGGGTTGTCTGATGTCATAAGTACCTGGAAGGTGAAATCCAATTTATCAGGAGTATAATTGGTCAATTTACGCCTTGCAATTCCAATGACCTCCTCAGCAATTTCTTCCTGTACAGTACCTTTTACACTGATGTAGTAGCAGTGAGAACTTGCAAAGTGACATGAAATAGCCTACAAAATATTTAACACATTTTATAAACATGATAAAAAGTTAAGAACAATCTCATTATACAATACAACCCTAAAAAGGCCAGTTCTATCTGGCGATTTTTGCAACCACTTTTTGCTACTTTTTGTCAGATTTAGTAGAATGGAACCTATTATTTTATCATGAGACATTGTGAACATTGCGTGAGCAAATACAATTTTTAGCTGATCAAAATCATATTTTAAATTGTTCTCACCTTGCGGAACCCATTAGTACGATTTGTGCCTGAGCCATGAATCAAAAGAGGATGGAAAAATACAGTATCTCCTGCCTCCATTTCAAGGTGCATCATGGGTGCATTTGGGTCATAGTCTTTAATACCATGATAAACATTATTAACTCCACCCTATCAAATGAAAATTATTGAAAAAATGGAATCTGAAAACAAATTTGTATGATATTTCCTGTCAATTAAATAAGAAGCACATAGTGACAAGAGTATTGAAAACAAATTTAGAAACTGAACAAAAAACGTTCACACATTACTTTACATATGGTACAAAAGTTACATAAACTGCACACATAACCAATCAATGTCTGGAAAGTAAATAGAACGATGTACCTTCCATTCTGGATACATATGTTTCAAGAGTTCCCTGGTGTGACTTCCAGGTAAAACAACAAGACAACCATTCTTACGGGTAACTTTTTCCATAGCAGTCCATGAACAGACAATCCTATCCAGAAAAATATAATAATCAAGAACTTGCAATATCTAAATTGTACACTAAATGAACTGTACGGCTAAATGAACTTATCAAAATGCACACAAAATTTGCATCTTTACTTGTTGAGTCTTCAAATGAGTAAGGGTGTTTGACATTGAAAGATTTTAAAGAAATGGTTTCACTTCAGTCCTGGAAAGTGTAAATCCCAGGCAAATTCAATAGACCTGTTGCAAGGCTTGCTCTCCAGTTCTATTTTCCCATATATGTTTCTTTAGAAAAATCAATATTTTACATTTGCTGTGACTTTTGAAGTATTTAGAGTTGAGACTTGAGGCTTTGCCATTTTACCAACATAAACCTGCTCTTCATTTCTGAACATCATTTTTTGATAGCTGCTTGATTTAAGGTAGGTGTGGTCACGTGACCCCCAGCTGCAAAGGGCCTATGTATATCCTATCCCAACCTTTCTAAGTTGTCCACAAATATAGTAAGTTTTTAATTATGGCTTTCCTGTGTTGCTATCTATCTAAATCTTTTTTCAAGGGAATGAAAACCAATGCAATAACGCTACAAAATGCAAGGTTAATCTTATAAATATAAAAGGRGAAGGCTTTTATACCTGTTAGCAGGACGGAACGGAAAATAGTGTAAATCCTGATGCAATGGATGTCTAGAGCTCTGCGTACCAGGATCTGGAGGCTTGTTAATCAACATAGTATGAGCTGCCATAATATCTGGCCCAGTAAAGCATTCTACGTACTTTAGAACCCCTGGCAAGCAGCAGTATTCAAATAGGACATCGTCATATTGATAGTTTTGGATCTTGTTGATAATTTTTTCTCCCTCAAGTGATTTCGATTTCCTCAGAGAAACATCCTTCATTACATCTAACCCTGGCACTCTGACTTCGCCATTGCAGATCTGCAAAAACCGTTCATGATACCTGTCTAAATGGATTTTGCCGACGAGGTTTCGGACAACAAGATAGCCATTTTGGTTGTAGAATTCAACTTGGTCTTGCGTTAGGAGGTCGTTTTCGAGAACATAACCGAATGAGTCGATTGGCGTAAGACTTTTTGCAGAAGTTGGCGAGAGAAGCGTCTTTTGTTGGTTAGTTTTACTATAGCAAAGATGATCAGAAATGCGAGTTAATCTTTCTGCTCCCCTGCTCGTCGACATTTTGGATGTCCTGTTGAGACTCCTCGCTCGTAGCTATACACAGGAAGCCCAGAAATTAAATATTTGACAAAAGCCATAATCGATACAAAAATAAATAAAAATATATCCATCAATCAATTAATTAACAAAAAAAAAACAACAACAAAAAAAACAACAACAACAACAACAACAACAACAACAACAAAAAAACAACAACAACATAAAATAAAAATAGTAAAAAATAAATAAAATCATGAAATGAGAATGAAGGTGAGGGCAAAGAATAAAATAAAGTGACTGGATGCCACGAACTGAACAATTTTGGATTGAAGATAAGACTACTTAACGAGTTGCGCCACTGGACCACACTCATTTACATAATAATAGACCACTTGCCCCACTTGACACTTTCGCCGAATAGAGTACCCCAATTTGAATAGTTGCCTAGTTAGTGCAAGGGGTTATTCATCAGTGTCTAGGGGCCGGATAGCTTCTCCCTCACTGGCTTTTTAGTTAGCGCGAAGTTAGGACCAATTATCGGGATAGCATGGAAGAGCCGAAATCTCTAACCGGAATGTAAATCGATTGGACGCCTCGGTTTCACAGAATGTCTCGGGGGAATCGTCCCAACAGTTTTTCTGACTTTATGTCACGAGTTCGAATACCAGCTCGGTCTTGTTCTTCTTCGTGTGTCATTCTTCGTTAAGCGGACAGCATTTATCTTTTTTTCTTTCTTCAATTCAGATTTTATCCATCTTCAGAATTAGGGCCATATTCAATTGCGTTCTTAGCTTTTCCTAAACCAATGGATGTTGTTCATTTAGACGTGGTAGAATGCATATAAAAATATCCAATATATCTTTGAACTAACTTTCAAAACTCACTCACTCATGAAGATCTTTTCAACACTCGAAGATAAAATCCGTATCTGCGCGCGCCCATGTAATATCCTCTATATATGAAAGTAGCCTTAGAAATTAAAAATGCTTTATTCTTCCCCTCATCCACAATGATTTTCGCATATCCCCCGTTGCATTCCTTGAATATGAAGATACGGAGAAAAAACGGAGTAAAATGTAGGATATCAATAAAGGCATGCACCTGTCTCACGTATTAAATAATCGTCAAATTTTCGACTATGAAACCGATGACAAAAAACGTGAACGTATCTATTTCGGCAAGACAAATTAAACTAAACATAATTCCAGCGAACTGATACTGATACGTAAGTTGCCGAAAATAGCTTTTTGTCGGTTTTGTTTTCTGAAGACAATCGAGGCCAAGTAGGTTATATAGAAAGAATCGCGCTCAATAATTGAGTTTCGCTCTAAAAGCTCAAAAGTGAGAGGGAGGTCCGTTCAGGCGCTTCTAGTTTTAATAATTCACTAACAGTAAAAAACAACACAACATTCATGATTATGGTACAATTTATTCTTATTTGATCCATATACATTAATTGATATTTATAATTGTAGTCTTGATAAATATGATCATGATACATATGTGAATTTTCTAGTTCTGAACTAGAAGCATGTTCTTTTATCAAAATAATACTTATACCGGTACTTCAGTACTTTGATTTTTTTTAAAACGTACTCTCTCCTAATATATTAATTTAAAAAAAAAGAGAAAAAAGTTCTCCCTATACTCCATTCACCCAAACAACTATAGCACCTGTACTAGTTCACATCCCAGTCAACTCACAGCTAACATTCCACAGTTTTTCCTGCACGTTCTGGTCATAAGATTCCTCATTACTTTGTGATTCCTGGCAGTTATCCAAGTATAATCCACCTCTGCCTTCCAGTTCAGGGGAGAGACAGGCATAGAGACTTGTGTAAGCACCTTGCTCAGGGGTCTAAAAGTTTTAATAGAATAATTACATATCTATTTTAGCAGTTGATAGAAAAGATTGGTTGATTAATTGATTTGTATAGTTTGACTGTTTAGTTAGCTTTTATTATTTGTGCGAGTATTGGTTGATTGATGGATTAAAGCTGAATAGATCCCACTATAGAGTGCAGGGGGTGTACAGCATCTCACCATTTGTTATATTGCTTATACCCCCTCTTTATCCAGTGTATCTGCTGGATTAGTGGGTGGGTCTATGGGTTATTGAACCATTGGTTGAGTCATTATGGGTCAGTGGGTCGGTCATTCAGTGGGTTGGTTACAGAGTCACAGGATCAGTGGGTTTGGTCAGGAAGTTATTGAATCAGCATTTTGGTCATTGGATCAGTGAGTCACTGGATCAATGGGTGGTTCAGTGGGTTATTAGATCAGTGTTTGGGTGTGTCAGTTGCTTTACAGGGTCAGTTGGTGTGTCAGTGGGTTATGGAACAGTGGCTTGATTTGTGGATAACTCATGCAATCAGCAGGGTCACGGGATTAATGAGGGTTCAATGCCTTACTGGATCAGTTAGTGGGTTGCTGGGTAGCAGGTTCATTGTACTATCACTGGATAAGTTGGTCCATCAGTATGGAAGCTACTAAATGTATTTAACGTAGAACGCCAAAAGATGCCTAATACATACCAGAAATAGAATCTTTGCTAGCAACGTTTGTGGATAGCGAATTAACCAAGGCAAATGCTGAAATAAGTTAGTGTCCACCACTCCTGGGTGAAGGCAATTGGCTGTAACATAACACTGTTCACTAGTTAACCTTCTCTGCAGGGCATATGTGAATAGAACATTAGCCAATTTACTCTGGCTATAGGCAGCATAGGAGTTGTAGTAATTCCTGTTTGAGAAATTAAGAGAAGATGCAAAATATATTATTAAAAAAAGAAAGTTTGGGCAAAGAGGGATATCTTCATTACAATACCTATAAAATGGCTGACTATCAGTTAGCATTCAGTTAGTAATATATATTTGTTTGTGTTCTTATTTAAAACAAATCAACACTCTGACGAATGAGCTTAGACCTGTATTTAGTTTCTTACTTGCTCTGTAAATCTTCAAAGTTARTRGTTCCAATTGATCCAGCAGATGAAGAAACAGTAACAATTCTTGAATAGCTTTCTGGTGACCCAGATCTGTTGATTACAAATGGTAACATTTAAAATAAAAGAGAAGCTATAATCTCAAACCCAAAGCTACTACATTGCTCTTGACCATGGATAAATAACTAAATTGTGTCTGCATGACTTCTTCTTAGTTATGTAGTCTCTTTGCAGCTGTATTTAGTCTTGGCCACACGTAATGCAACCTCTCCACACAGTGTGACCTACACCAAACACCCCTGTTAGGAGACTAATAGTGATTGTAACTGGGTTTGTGATGGACGCTAAGTGTGACCACCGATTTTATTCTGATCTTTGCAGTTAATAAATGTTAATATCAGTACCTTTTTATAATATCAAGTAACTGTATGGTCARGGCAAAGTGTCCCAAGTGGTTGATACCAAGCTGAAGTTCAAAGCCATCTTTTGTTTGGGAGAAAGGAGTAAGCATCACTCCAGCATTGTTTACCAGAATATGAAGATTGCTTTCACTCTCTTTGAATTTAGACACAAATTCCTTGATGGATTCAAGACTTGTAAGATCAATGTTCATAAATCTCACTGAAATGACAAAAGTCAACTAATATATTCACTTTTGAAATGCATGATTCAATGATCCTTCATTGTGATTATTTTTAGGGAATGGCCTCTCTGAAGACAATCCAAAAGAATATTTAACACACTGTCGAGGCCTAAGAGCAACTGAAAAGGTGTATTATGGTGACTGCCTGAGGTATACTTCTGCATATAATTCAATTAATAAGTTATTTGATTACCTTTAGCATCTGGTTCTTCCTCTTTTAACATTTTAATTGCACTGCTTGCTTTTTCTTCTGACCTGCAAGCTAAAATACAAAAGAAAAGGAAAAATGAAGAAATAGATGGGAAAAGAACTTTAGAAAATCAAACTTGCCCATAATCACCAACATTCCTGTTTTGCAGAGACTTTTAACAGTTTCAAATCCAATGCCAGAATTTCCTCCGGTGACGATTGCAACTTTGTTTGACAGATTGGGCTCTCCAGCTGTGGCACAAATGATTTTATCAATTGTAGCGAGCATTATTTTCAACAGCAAATCCTCATTTTCTCATTACCTTTTAATGCATGTTTTCTTCGATAAAGCATTTGATAAAACAACGTTTTTGTTCCATTGAAATAATTTGATATAACAGCCGCCATACTTGTAGATGATAGAAGGGTATTGGAAGCCAATCTCGTTCTACCTGGAGTCAGCGGTCTAAAACCACAGGAAATCCAAAGTTATAAGTTAAAAACAGAACAAACAGAAGCTAAATTAGTGCATGTGGTCTTAGCGATATAAAGAAAACATCAGAAAGAAAATATCGCAAATCAAATTGTTCGAAATGTAGCTCCAAAAGTTGTCACGCATACACCGGAAGTAAAAATTACAGAATCCGGAAGTGAGTTGTCCATTATGTAAAAAGGATATTTTGATTGGTTGGATTTTGTACGTGGTGCTTCATTACATTACACAAACCTGCAAAGGATCAACCAAGAATGAAAAGTACACATATTCATAGTTAAAAATAACGGACTTAAGAATGCCTTTGATAGTAAATGGTGAAGGTAGTCTTGCAGCGTCGTACAGAGACCGTGATYTGGTTCATCAGTTCTACGAGCAGCCCCAGGAACCAACAGAAACAACGCCATTAAGCCCTCACAAATCAGATGCATTCAAGCTTCATCGGCGAATCAAAATGAGGAGATTCTGTATAGCATGTTTAGTTTTAGCGGAATTGTGTGAACGATTTGCTTTCTACTGTATTATCATCAATCTTGCTCTGTTTATGGACAACTTTGGATGGTCCATGTTTGCATCAGCGTGTGGTGTCCTTGTCTACTCATGTATTGCTTGGTTTATGTGCGCATTAGGGGGTCTCGTTGCTGATTCACGATTTGGTCGATATTCTACTATAGTAGCTGGGTATTTTGTATACTTTATTGGTGCAATTGCGTTGGTTGCGATATCAGTTTGGATGGACAACAGAAAACAACAAACAGAGCCCGACGAAAATCTCCCTATACTACCCTGGTTAGCAGTTGTTTTGCTTTCCATAGGAATAGGGGAGGGGGCTGTAAAGGCAAATTTGTCAACTTTTAGTGCTGAACAATTAAGGGGTGAGCCTCCCAATGGATCAGGCAAAAGTCTGTTCAACTGTTTTTACTGGGTTGCTAATGCATTATCACTTTGTTGTCTTGCTGGTGTTGGTTTTATTCAACAGACAAGACTTGAGTGGAGTTCTGGGTTTACACTTGGATTTGCTATACCTGTTGGTTCATTAACATGCTCTGCTGCAGCTTTCCTTGCCAGTTCAAGATATTTTGTTGTCAAAGGTCCGCATGGGACTGGGCTGAGAAATTTTTGGTTGATTGTCAAGCAGGCATGGAACAAGAGGCATGATAAAGTTGAAATCAGGTAGTTGCAGATTTTTTTTGAAAAAAGTTAAAATAGAGCAATGTAAATAGAGGAACAGATAGAGAGGGTGCCATGGTATCTTTCACGGCTATATTTGTGTTCAGAGAAGGAGGAAATGTTTCAAAAGTTTCATTTGGTGTAGTGTTAAGGTACATCTGTTTACACCCCTCCTGATCCCTACTAGGAAATTCTGTGAGAAATTTCCTCTAATTTTTTCTCTATGTAGAGGTGGGAATTGAGAGTGGGCTGAGAATGGATTTTCTCTGAATTACATTAGTTTACTGCAAATTATTTTAGTAAACAGCTAGCATGTTTGTGTGACAGGGAGATGGCAGTAGGGGCACAAAGACACCCTAACACAAGAATGAATTGGTTACATAAGGCAACTGTTCAGTTTGGTGGAACATTCCTTAATTCTGAAGTACATGAAGCTAGAGCTCTTGGCAAGTCTGTGCTGTTTTGTTCAGCACTCATTCCATATTGGATCATCTATTCTCAGGTGATATGTAGTTTCCTTAGGGCATAAGGGGCCTGTTGTACAAAAGGTTCGGCTTAATACAAAATCTATGGAGTGCTGAGTAACTTTATCCATGTGAATAGCTTAAGTTACTATTTTGTACTACTGGTCCACGATGGCAAGCACCGCACATGGCAGGAAAGCAATTGAGGGCTAATTTGCGATTTATAATCCTAATCCATTCTTTCATACATCCATTTAATCCCATAATCTTTTGTTCATTTGATACAAATGATAAAACCTAGATGTTTATCCCTTTCTTCCTATATACTCTTCCCATCCATCCATTCATCCATCCATTTGCTTCATTTTTAGCTTTATTCAACATATTTGCTTCAAGGCCTACACCTAATGTCTACAATAAATCAATTCGTCATTCCTGCAGCATGGATGAGTTTGATAGAAATTGCGGTTGTCCTTTTACTAGTTCCTCTGATGGAGAGAATAGTATACCCAATGCTCACTCAGTCCAACATTTATGTACCACGTCTGTGGAGAGTCGCGTTTGGAATGCTTCTTATTGCAGGATCATCAGGAATGGGTAAAGAACATTTTTTTGGAATTTTCAAGACAGTATGGTATTTTAGTTTTTTTTCTCTTTCAGCTGGTTATGTAGAAATTTCCAAAGCAGAGTATTTCCTGAAGAATGGTTATATTAATCAAACAACTAGCTGCCGCGTCTACAAGGTTGTGGATGGTTTTTCCATTTTTAATCAGTTACCTCAATATGTACTTCTTGGGATAAGTGAGGTGTTCACTAGTATGTCTGGTAGGTGGAAAAGATGATGAAATACTAGTGGCTATAGTGTAAGATGAACGTCTGAACTCATAGGGATATGACGCATTTCTGACTGAACTAAATGTCGTGCCATGGAGGAGGAATGGAGATACGTCTATGATAATTCATGCTCACCAGCGACAGACTCATTTTTTCTTAAAAAAGAGATGAACAGTTTTTTATGTATATTCACTTTATACTATTCCCTTTTATCCTCTCTGAAGAATTAAACGTGCGCTCGCTTTTGCCTTACCCGCGGAAACACTTTACAGGTGAAAATGAATCTACCGGTATGTTGCAAATTGACTTTGCCGTATTCCGCCCAATAATTCCGACTTCCACTGATTCGTACGCAGCCTTGTTAATTGCTGTTCCTAGGCACCGGTCGGGTTAACTCATACGTCAAGTACTAATAATATTAACAAGTTTATTAAAAAGAGAATAGTAGCCATTGGCATTGAAGGTCAAATTGCACTCAATAAATACATTTATAAAATTTTTGATATATAACGCGCGCTCTGATTGGCTGACGACCGTGTTTATATCAGAGGACAGAGACACGGCTTACCGGCAAATTTTTCTTTTCGCTCGAAAAATTTATAAAAGAAATATAAAACGGTCGCTTGTGTCTCTGTCCTGTGATATAAAYRCGGTGGGAGYTGAAAAACACTCGAGAAGCAAGAGAAACACTCGCTACGCTCGTGTTCCTAAGCTTACTTCTCTCGTGTTTTTCGAACTCCCACCGTGTTTATATCAGAGGACAGAGACACGCGCGCCGTTTTATATTTCTTAAGTACAACAATACATATATAAATACGGTACGATATATATTAAGTACGAACAATACGGACCTCAAAGGCCAAAATAAACATGTTCTTATTGATTCTAAAACAATTTCTATTCTTTGACCAGGTCTGGAGCTCGTTTATGCCGCGTGTCCGACCACGCCCCAGAGTGTAACAGCAGGGCTCTATAACCTAATGATCAGCATAGGAGGTGTTTTTAGCGTCATTATATTAGGAATAACTTCTTACTACGACTGGTATTCATTACACATTGGAGATGACACCGAATACCTCCAGAACAACAAAACTGCATATTATTACTGGTTGTTAAGTGGTATTGTACTTCTTGGTGTTTTTATATTGGTTGCCATAGGTTACTGTCATGATATCGGGCTACGACAGCCTCATCATCATCATCATCGCCAATCATCATACACGATGGAAACTGATAGGGATTCCATTGCAGATCGAAGAAACTTGTCCTCAGCTGAAAAAAGAATTTATCCCGAGATATCTTAGCACAGACACACATTAAAAGATTTTTGCCAAAGGCTTTTATATCTTTCTTTGAACGCGTACTTGAGCCAGACCGTCACTGATATTAAACAAATTCCACACCAATGTATGACTCTAAAAATTATATTTTCAGTGATTTCTATGTTCTCCTGAAGTTCAGCTGTACACACAGCGTTTTTTTAACAGAATTCAATTGTAAATAGTTGGGAAATTAATGATCAAAACTTTTACTACCTGCAGAATATTATGCCAGCTTTGGTTACCAACATTCAACGTTGATTATTGCATCATCAAGAGCTAAAGGGTGTCTTCTGTCTCATTTACAGAAGGAACTACAATAATAATGTGAAATATTGAAAGCAATCTACTAGAGCAAATAAAAGTTGAGCGTTTCCTCAAAACATCCCTGTGATAGAGCGGATTTCGTATGAGTGGGACGTCACCGTTACCGCACAGTTACCCAACCTGGCGTGCACAATTTCGGTGAAACAATGAGACACTAGAATTTGGTTACAGTACGATTACGGTAACAGTACAGTACCGTCCGTTTCCCACTCATACGAATTTCGCTCTAATGGTTTCTTCGGGTTTCCTGTGATGCATGTGCGTACCTGAGAATATGCCAAAAATGAAAATGTCCAGTTCTTCTTTTCAGTTTAGATGTTGGGGTCATAACAAAAAAAGATGTTGAAAGGCTATTTTAGTTATTTGCCTACTTGTAATCCTTTTCATTGTCATGTGCGAAAGAATGTATTTAGAGTTCAGTTTAACAGTAGAACGTATTCGCATAACCCACTTTTCAAATGCTAATGAGTTTGCTAATATTCTAATGAGATTGGCACAAGAAACAAAAGAGCAAAAACATGCTTGAGTGATTTCAGTAGCGAATATTATTTCAAAACTATTTTGAGCTCAGTTCAATAAATGCAAAATTTCAAAAGGAAACATTTTTATTTAAGCTATACAGCTATGTCAACTTCTCGTAAACTACATGCAAGTAATTAGATTAGACGCGGCAAAAGATCGACGTCTGAAAGAATTGAAGAATTGGTTTTGATTCTAGTATCGACGGGTTGTCGAAGTCTGCAATGCTTGTTTTATAATTCTTCCCATGCGCTCAATTTATTTAACACAATTTAAATCAACATTATGAACCGCTTAAAACAAACGATCTGTTGGCATTCAAAAAATAAGGAATTTTGTAACTTTAATAATAAAAATGTGTCCGTTTGAAATTGTGTATTTATTGAACTGAGCTCAAAATAGTAATATTTTGAAATCACTCAAGTATGTTTTTGCTCTTTTGTTTCTTGTGTCAATCTCATTAGAATATTAGCAAAACTCATTAGCATTTAAAAAGTGGGTTATGCGAATACGTTCTAGTAAAATAGAAAAGTAAATTTTGTCATCATTTAATCAATTTAGGACTGATTTTATCAATTAGGGACTGATCATTTGACTTTGCAAAGATTTGGCCTGAGCAAGATTTTTTGTGCCAGAGACTGGTGATCAGGATTTTTTTTCCCTTCTTGATGCTCGGCAGGATTATTTTTTCTCTTCATTGCATTTTTTCCCATCACTTTGTTCTCTCATTTTTTTATTTCATTCTTGCTCCAGGAAATGTATTTTCGAAATTATCCACTATAGGTCAAATGGTCAGTAACCTGCTTCAAGGACATTTCTTGATGTCATTTTTATCGTCATATTGACTATTCTAGAAAACAATAGACTTACACATATTTCCCTCCTGCTTGGACTGGGATCCCTGTGTTTTTACCCAGAAGCCACTACTCACTCCACATGGTATCGACTGAAAGAGCCAGGAATAACAGCAAGCACTCGCAGATAGTGGTGTAGTTTGTGCTAAATTTTTGGTTGAATTAAGACTACCCTAATATAATTACTTAGAATAGGTACACTTTTAGGTAAGTTATTTTAGCTGCCGTTTGCGTACTTTCAGATCATGACAAATTCAATTAAGCAAGTGGTCATTCGATTTGTTTGTTTAGCTGTTCGGCTCATCTTTTCATGTATTTTTTGACATTTTTGACTTTCTTTTACAGGCTTAACAGCTTGAGAATGGATACTGACTGGATTGCATACAAGTGTAAATCAGGGCAGATACTTTTTATCTATAACAAAGTAACTGGCGAACACAAATGGCCCAACGGAGATGTAAGTTAAGTTCAATTAATTAACTTAAGCTTAATAAGCTTAAGCTTAAATCAAATGACTTTAGAGTTTTGTGAAGTCAAAAACAGGGATGGATCCAGCAATTTGCGAAAGTGAGGGTCGTGAAGTCTGGAAAATCTTTAGATAGGCAGAGATCATCATGAGAAATATGATTTCCAGCATTTTATGGGATTTTGACAACAAGCCCATGAAAAGAATTCATGGTGGACAATTTACTACTGTAATGTAAAGCATTCACTTAGATATATTTTTTTTATAATATAGAGCTCATCAGAGGACAGTGTCATGAATGGCGAACCAATTATACTTAAAGATGTACGCAGTGTGGGTATACAGACTGATGATTCTGGATGTCCTAATGGCTGCACTTCTATCTATACTTCTGCAGCAAATACACAGCTTACCACTGATATGGAAGAAGATATCTCAGAATCTAAAACTGAAGAAATGAGTGGATCACACATGGATGAAATTTCTGAAATGATACAAGTTCTGGAAGAATACAGTGTTCCTTCAAGTACAGGTATTACAGGAAGTAACAGTGGACATGAGGCATGCAATGAAATAATTCAACAAGTGAAACAAGAGCCAGAGGATGCAGAAGAACATACAGCCAAATACAATCATTATAACAGTACCACCGATGGTGATGATCTACATAGTGAGAACGAAGAATTTAGTACTGGTACTCAGCAGACAAATGAGAATAAGGCTTTTGAATGCACTTATTGTTACAGACAATTTGAAAGCAAACCAGAGCTCATTAGCCATTTCAAAGCGCATATAATTTGTAAAAGCATCTTTGAATGTCCTTATTGTAAGGCAACATTTGAGGAAAGTGAAAAATTTGAATGTCATCTTCAAACACATGTTGATGAATTAGGAACACCCTTTGGATGCCACTACTGTGACAAGAGATTTTCAAAAAAAGAGCATTTGATTGAGCATGTTAAAAACCATTCTAAAGCTATGCCATATGAATGCTCTCTCTGTCCCACAAAGAGATTTAAGAACGAGGCTTACCTGAGAGACCATATGAGACTGCATAACAAGGACAAATATTTCCAGTGCACATATTGCAAAAGAAAGTTCACACATAAATTTGCCTTGAAAAAACATATTGAAACTCATGCCAAAGAGAAACCTTTTGGTTGCTCTAATTGCAAGAAGAGATTCATGTACAAGTCAAGTTTAGAAGCTCATATTGCAGTTCATGTTGAAAAATATCAATGTACTCACTGTGAAGAAGAGTTTGCAGACAAAAAGAGTTTAGTTGATCATCGTGAAAAACACTTGGGTGAAAAACGTTTTAGGTGTTCGTATTGCGCAAAGAAGTTCCGAACCAATAGTAATTTAATTGTCCATCTCAGAATCCATACCAAGGAAAAGCYTTTCGAATGTTATGACTGCCATAAAAGGTTTACCTACAGGCAATCTTTTGAAAATCATGTCACAAAACATCATAGAACAGATGTAACACCTTTGGAATGTTCCTACTGCAAGAAAACATTTCTAACACAAACAGATCTCAAAGATCACCTCCGTACTCATATCCAAGACAAGAATTTTGAGTGTTTGTCTTGCCATGAAAAATTCAGAACAAAACAAATTCTAAAGAGCCACATGAGGACACACACCGTGGATAAACTGTTTGAATGTTCGTTTTGCGGGAAGAAATTCAGAGAGATATGCAATTTAGACCAACACATGAGAATACACACCGGAGAAAAGCCCTTCCAGTGCCCCTATTGTGAGAAAAAGTTCACCAGAAATTCACACTTAAAAAGTCACCTCAGAGTACACACGAGTGAAAAGGCTTTTGAGTGTTCTTACTGCAAGAAAGACTTTAAAGACAGGTTCAATTTGCGTAAACATATGGTAAGACACACTGGAGAAGAAATATATGCCTGTCCACATTGTGAAAAAGAATTTACTTATAAAACTGGATTATCTCGTCACCTCAGGTTGAACAGATGCCCTTCTCAAATGCCTTATGAATGCCCTTATTGCAAGTTGAGGTTCAGTGATAAAAACAGTTTCGATCGCCATACAGCTCTCCATACTAGGAAAAATATATGTCCACTCTGTAAGAAAGAGTTTAGTGAAAGAAGCAATATGAGGCGCCACATAAAAAAGCAAAGCTGTCTCAGGAAAGGCCAAAAAAATAGTGATTCAGATTATGAACCACAGTAAAATGAATGCACAGAAATTGAAATGCCATCAGTTTTTTATTGATTATTTTATTCAGCACTGGTTTGGCCAAGTCTGGCCAAGTGTCACTGGAGCCAGGCTAGAAAGCTTGGCTATGCAGCCTAATAATGTATAGCTAATTTTCGTCCAGTGTGTTCTTAGTCAAGCTAGTATTCTAGATTTCCTCATGCTGATTCATTGTTTAATTAAGCAAACTCAAGATGAAACTTGTAGATTAGAGATTCAATTTTCTGAATGATTTAACAGAATTTAATATGGAATTTACTGTACATAATAATAGGGGTGCCAATTTACTATTTTTCTTTTGTTTGTTTTTGCTTAGTTTTATTTTGCATGTGTGTGTTTGTTGGTTTTTTGTTGTTGTTGTTGTTGATTTTTTGCATATTTGAGTCTCAATTTTTCACCTCATTTTGTCTCAATCCCAATTTTGAATAGAACCTTAAATCTCATTTTGGTTATTTTTTATGATTATTATTTAATTGAAAATATTATTTATATAATTATTTAATAATTTAATATTATATTAAAATATAGTGAGAACAAATGATGATTATTATAAAGAGAAATCTTTAGAGAAATGCAATATTACTCTGTCCTTTAGAGTTCTGTAGATCAACAAAATAAGTGATACTACTGTAGTACAATATTGCCGAGGTCTTAATAATAATGACTGCTATTTTTCAGAAATGCCACAGAACAGTGAAATCATGTGGCAATTGAAGATGTTCTCTATGATATGAATATTGTGATGTTTCTAAAACTATATTTTATTTAACAATTAGATATGGAATAACTTATTTAATGTGACTATTTGATTATTGAGTGACATTTAATTAGCCCTAGGAATAATAATAATTTATGAATGGCATCCTGGTTGATTCCATTAAGCAATTAATATTAATTTTGTGATTATGTAGATAATAATTATTTTTGTATAATAAAAAATATCAGGACAAATAGAGATAATGTGATTTTGGGCTTCTGTTGCAAAAAAAATATTACCACAGCATAAAATGTGGTTGGAACCTTGAGAACCTGGGGGAGGGGGGGAGGAACTCCCTTATAAAAGTTGGTAGGTATGCTTGACGGACAGATTGAAAAATGACAATAAACTCACAAATTAATTCAGGTATCGATAATTCAAATTTTTGACGTCTTTAAAAAGAGAAAAGCTCAAATTTAACAAACTTGAGAATGCAAGGGTGATGATTGAGATGCGTTTATTTATGCCTTATTTCATCAGCATACAGTTGGGTTGGCCCTAATAGCTGATTTGCATTATGGCGTCATTTACTACAACTACCAGAATGTTTTGCCAACTTTCTTTTGTAGTGTAATTAGTGCTAATTGTTTTATTAATCTCCAAGGGGATTACAAATCTGAATAACAATGAAAATGCGCAAGACTCTCTGGTAGTTGTAGTAAAGTTACGCCATAATGCATATGGCCTATTCCTCGGTATTCCCTAGGTTCCCAACCCATACTCTAGACCACTGACATTAATATCAATCACTCGGATCAAGATTGCAGGGATGGTGGTAGGGGAAAATTGAAAAGGACTTTCTAGCAAATAAGCCAAAAATTCATGCAAATATCATGATGATAGTAAACCTCGGGGAAAAACATGATTGGCATACATGTTTCAATTTTCCTGACCTCCAACCTTTGTTGGATTCCCTGTGTTGTTCATCGACACAGGAAGACCAAGAATGAGATGTCAGCGGTAATCTTGCTAGTTACCAGACTTCGCTCTGCTGCACGTGTGGTTGTTTTTTTCTCGTCTCGTGTGCGTCGTTTGTAGATAAAAATAGTATTTAGGGCGATTTTACACATAAATTGTATTCACAATGAAAGAAAGAAACGTTAACAAGCTGCCCAGCAATCTTCCACAGCTTCAGAATCTCATAAAGAGGGATCCAGAGTCCTACAAAGAAGAGGTTGGTAAATTTCTCTTTTTCATCCTTGAATTTTTGCATAACAAAACTTATCATTGTAATATCATGCTAATATGCTGTCTTCTGTTATAGTTTATACAACAATATCGTCATTATCAGTCCAATGTGCAGATCTTCAATCTTAACCCTTCCAGTAATAACAAAACTCTTCAAGAACTAGTGATGTTTTTGTGTCAGGTAAAATTTTCTTGCAAGCTTATAAAATCTCTGGTGTTTTACAGGCGAAGTAGACTGGAAACAGAAAGTGGTTCAGTATGAGATGCTTACTGCTGCTTAGTTTTCATTTGCCAGATGCTTGTCTTTGTATTTTGCTTGTTCTCTTATTTTGACACCCACTACAAATGTATGTGTACTATCATGTAGGTTGCTCATTGCTACCCAGACAAACTTGATCAGTTGCCACAAGAAATCAAGGATTTACTGCACAAACACCATGGTGTAATGGATTCAGAATTAAGAATGGTATGTCAAAACACCACAGCATCGAGCCACATAGATACAGAACCTTGTTTTCAGCTAACAATATATTGCATTGAGAACTGACCATTCATCTTTAATATGTTTATTTCAGACTCTATGTAAAGCCCTGATTTTATTAAGAAATAAAGACCTGATTTCTCCAACCAGGTAAAGTTTTGTAACTGTAGAATAAACTTTATTTTTATCTCAAATTAGCAATAAGATTATTACAGCAGAAGTTTCTACCTACCTTTTGTACATGTATTACATTTGTTGGCATAGCTACAATGTACATGACTAGCCTAGACCACATTCACAATGTTGAATTAGTAATAAAAACCCTACTAGTGGACTATGGCAAATGCTACATTCTGATTGGCTACACTACTCGGGGTCTATTTTCAATAGTCCTCAACTAGCAAAAAGCGAACAATTTTTTCATTTTTTTAGAAACTTAGTATGGTAATACTAAAACAATTATCAGCCTTTGGCTTCATGGGCTATCAGGTTTTAGTCCACTCGCTCTCGAGATCTAATTGTTAAATAGAGTTTCAGTTGCTGGTAAATCATTTTAGTGGATTGTTGTCAGTCAATTGATAATATTGCATGTTTTGAAGTCAACTGTATAAGGGTTGATAGTGTATCAATGGAAACAGTCTAGTATCTAGTAATTACAACAAACTCCACCCTAAATTGTAAAAAATACGAAAATCCAAATGAACTTTGAGTTAGACAGATCTTGTTTATTGACCGTTATATTATATTTTATTCAACAGTTTATTGGAGCTGTTTTTTAAGTTATTCAGATGTCCTGACAAACTTCTACGTCAGGTTCTTTACAATCATATTGTAACAGACATTAAAAACATAAAYGCCAAGCATAAAAATAATAAAGTTAACAATGTAAGTACACCTTAAGACCATTTTAGATTATAATATTATGTTCACAGAAAACTTAATTCCTATTATCTGGGCATTAAACTGTCAAGGACAATAACCAAGCAAAATTTCAGTTTAAGTGGTCAAATCTATGAATGAACAGAAGCTAATAATAATGTTTTTACTTGCCAAACTTGAGATTTTGCTGCACATTTTGTTTGCTCATTCGTCTGCTGTATTTTAAATTTCATAAAATCATTGTTATGACAAAGAAGCAAGATTTGCTGTTACTCCGAGTGTCATGCTTACGCACTCATCAGGCAGTATTTATGGGATCAGCTACCTCCTCATATGATTGAAATCATTGTTATATTTACAGACACTACAAAATTTCATGTACACAATGTTATCAGACAGTAATGCTGTTGCTGCTAAGAAGTCTTTAGATGTTATGATAGAATTATACAGAAGGAGTGTATGGAAGGATGCCAAGACAGTGAATGTCATCATCACTGCTTGTTTTTCTCCAGTTTCTAAGGTACTTTATATCAATTCCTTATTACCAATCTCTACAACCAATAACCACTTAGATGAGCTCTTGGGATGAGCTCTTGGGATATATCTCAGGAACCATGATTGAAATAAAACAAGACTTCACCAATTCATAAACAACATATCAATTGTATGAATGGTACACCTGGCCACAACTCACAGAGATCCAGTCCAGATACTGTGAAACCCCCCATATGTTTTATGGAAATGCTGGCCTGACTACAGCCAAATACTAAAACTGTTGTTGTAAGCAGTTTTGGTTCAGCTGCTACCATCCTAGGAAATGCTTACTGTGTAAAGAACTGAATTTGAGATTCCAGATTTATTACAGTTTTTTATAAGGGACTCGTTTATTTTAAGCACTTTCATGAGACAAGGTTGTCCAACAGCGTGCATGTATTTAGTTGCTCACCATAAAAGTACAATAAAAAAATTGTTATTTTGAAAATTTGTTATTTTGTTAGACGTGAACTGTATTTCTAATGATTTGGGAATTTCTAGATCCTTGTGGCAGCTCTCAAGTTCTTTCTAGGAAGTGATGAAGAGGAAAGCAAAAATGATAGTGACAGCGATAGTGAGGTAAAAATGTCCAAGACAAGAATTATAGTAAATGACATTAGGCAATTTGTTTTCAAGTCAAATTCAGCCTGTAGATTATTTGCAAACAAAGAGCTATATTTATACTATTATAATTTTGTAGCAAATGACATGCAGTCATCTAATATTTTCTAATGAAAATATTCCTGAAAAGACAAAGTCATTTTTCTACCTTACATGTTACAGAATTAAACGAAATAATATATAAATCAATGAATATTTTTTGCATGTAAAAAGTTTAAAGTGTATACTGTGTGTCATTGGTTTGCCCAGTGCAAAAGGTTGTCATTGTTGATATATAGTATGTCATATTTCATGACATACTATTTCTTCATAACCACAACACAACATCTTGTTGATCTTTTTAGCCAGAGAAACCAACTGCCAAACAATTACTTCATGCATCTGGTGTAAATAAAAAGAATTCCAAGAAAAAGAAAAAGATTGAAAAGGCACTTTCCATTTTGAGGGTAAAGATTCTTTACAATATGATATGATTGATTTGAGCTTTTTTATGCCTTTTTACTATTCAAAACCAAAGACATGTCTGGTTTGCTTTTTTAAAACTGACTGTCTTGCACAAAGACATTTCCAAAACAAAACAAAACAAAGACTTAAAAACAAAGACAAAAACAAAGACTTAAAAACAAAGACTTAAAAGCTGTAGACCAGGAACACATGCTTATTCTCAAATTGGAGAAATGCAAAGTAATGCAATTTTGCATGGCTGTGGTAATGATACATTTTTACTGTTGGGGTCTTTTGTCCATTTTTTCTCACAGAAAAACAAAAAGAAGCACAAAGTTTCTACTGTTAATTTTTCTGCTCTTCATCTCATCAATGACCCACAAGGTATGTTGGCAGATGGTTGATAAGGGTAGCTAGCCAGGCTCTCTTTTCATCTGTATGGAACTCCCTGAAAAACAGCTAAACTAGTGGTCTTCTGCATGAAGAAATCTCTTTTTGTAGCCCTAAAACAATATGTTAAAATAACTTTCTAAAGTTAGCCATCACCTTTTGTCATGTGACACTTGGTTCACTGTATATCATGCATTCTTGTCATTGAATATTACAAACAGAGCATGACATATGTTTAATATTTTGTTATTTTCCAGGTTTTTCAGAGAGGTTATTCAAACAACTTGAAGTGGCAACATGTCGATTTGAGATAAGGCTGATGATGATGAATCTTATATCTAGACTGATAGGTATTCATCAGGTAAGATTTGTCATGGAATGAAATGCATTGAATTCCTTGATTCCTTGACTTGATCAATTGATTAACTAATTGTCGATAGATTGATTGATTTAGATTGATTGGATGATTGATTGATTGATTGATTGATTGGATGATTGACTGGTGGACCAAGTATTGATTGACATAATACTGATAGTGTTCTTATGATACCTAGTAAAAGACTTGTGTTATTTCACAGCTATTTGTGTTCAATTTTTACCCATTTTTACAAAGATATTTACAGCCACATCAGAGAGGTATGAAGTACATTTTTGTCATGGAACTATGGAACTCTAATAAATTATGTTGATCTGAAATCGAAAATCTTGTTTCTGTAGCAATTATTGCGAGCCTCATTCCAACATGCCTTTGTAGCAAAGAACATTTATTGTGTTCCAATACTAATTTCACTTTTTTTTCTCATTTAGAGGTCACTAAACTACTGACGTTTTTTGCACAAGCATGTCATGAACTGGTTCCTCCTGAGGTATATTCATTGATATTTTCCTGTATAGTGCTGCTTCCATATGACTGTGACAATTCACAACTCAACTTGGCATAGATCATACCACAGGAAACATAAATCATATGGACCCTCATTTGGTAGTGATGCCATAGAGAACATTGAATTGTCTAAAAATCATGTGGCTGTGGCCAGTACAGCTTGAGCATAGCTCAAAAGTGTAAAGGTTTTTGTTTTCATTTGTACTAATCCATCCATTCTCCATTTGGATTATGTCCAATATTCAATGTCCAATCTGTCCAATATCATTTAGACAATAACTGTGTGCACATCCCCGGTAGTTTTTCTGGAAGTGAGGAACGAACGACAGAAGATTGCCCCTGGGTTCCCGAGGATGCTGTGTGCACAATCCATCCCATAGAGATACAAGATCCAATTAAAAGGTTATAATCTGTGTTCCTTCCTTTATTCTTTGACCAGGTAATTGAATCTGGTGTGAAAACAATAGCAAACAATTTTGTCACCGAAAGAAACTCACATGAAGTCATGGCTGTAGGGTAAGCAACTGAATGAGAAAAAACCTTGTAGTGTTCTGGATCCAGCACTGGTATTCTGGTATTCTGGTCTTGGTAGTGTTTGAAATCATAGTCATGAATAGGCTATTGCTAGATCTAGGCTTGCTTTTGGTGGGGTTCACCATATTAGACGGAAAAGCACAGGAAGCCCACGTTCTGTAGGACTATATATATAATGCGTTGTACAAGGGTCTAGTCTGTGGTCTATAACAACGGGCTGATTCTTTACTTTTTTTAAATTTAAGATGTTATTGTGAAATGTATTTGTATAAAAAATGGTATAAAAAAGGGAGTAATTATATGTGCAAACAATGAAACTCCCCTAGGTCAGATTGGGACTTTATTTATCATACTTTTTTTAATTTTCTTTCTTCAGTTTGAATGCAATAAGAGAAGTATGTATGAGATGTCCCCTGGTTATGTCAGATACTCTTCTACAGGACTTGGCCCAATATAAAAAGTCAAAAGACAAAAGTGTCATGATGGCCTCTAAGTCACTTATACAATTATTTCGATCGTTAAATCCAGAACTTCTTCATAGAAAAGACAGAGGTAAACCTACTGAGGCGTCAAAAGAAAGGACGGCATTACAGTATGGAGCTGTAGACAGCAAGGATTACATTCCTGGAGCTGAAATTCTTGATGAAATACCTACAGAAAAAGATGAGACTCAGGGGGGTGGGGAATGGCAAAGTGATGAAGATGACAGTGATGGCGAATGGGTTGATGTGCAGCATTCATCTGATGAGGACCAGGGGGAAGATGACAGCGATGATGATGATGGTGATGATGATGATGATGATGATGATGATGATGATGACGGTGACGGTGATGATGATGATGATGATGGTGATGATGATGATGATGATGATGATGATGACGATGTTGATGAAAATGATAACCGTGATGAAGGCAAAACTACCCAGCAAGATGACTCGGTGTCTAGAGCTTCAAAAATGAGCCAAATGAGGATCTTAACGGATGAAGATTTCAAGAAAATACGACAAAACCAAATGGCTAAAGAAATGCAACCAAAACTAGGCAAAAAAAGAAAGCAGTCTTCAACAGCAGACACTGCACAACTCAATGAAAGGTAACTTTCTTTCATTTTGTTCTATTCCATTCTTTTGCCGTGATCACGCTTCAGTTTCTTGAATTGATTTGTACGTTTTTGAACAAGTGCATTGCTCTTTTAAGTGCGAAATTGAACAAGGGACCAATAAACTCTCCATATGAGTATCAGTTCTGGTTCATTCATTCCCTGCGCGGGACCAAAATACTTATTTCAGCCCCAAAGGAAGTGTACGATGATCGGGTTAACCTGATCACTGCTAGCATGGAAAAAGCCTGTTTACAAGTTTTACTGATTTTAGTATTATCTATTTTTTTTTTGAATGCAGGAGTGAACTGGTACCACTAGAAAACATCGAACAGATCCATAAAAAGAGAAAACATGACAAGGCCTCGAGGCTCGAAACTGTGATGGTGAGTATTTAAGTGAAAGGAACCATTTAATGTACTTACCCACTGGGCTTAGCGGTCAAATAAATGACCCTGATGATTGATGGGTAATGTCTGTAACATCGATGTCTATATTTAACCAGGGTCAATTTGAACAGGCTCTTTCTACTTTAATAAGATACTTTGATTTATGCCTTGGGGAATTTCCTGTTCACAATGAAGCGGTAAATATCCCGCTCTGAATTATTGAATGCTGCTTTAAATTGATAAAACTTAACCTTCCACCCCTAATAACTGCCTCGAGACATTCACGGTTGGGATTTTTGGGGGGTAAACAGCTTTTTGGAAGCTATTGCTTTGATTTTATTAGTTCGTTTTACCTAGGGTTGTACGAAGGCTCGAACGTAATACCATTAATTTCATGTCGTCAAACATGTAGAAGAATTTCCGTTCTGTTTTGCTTTGTTTCGTTTTGTGTTGTTTCGTTTTGTTCAGTTAACTTCGTGACGTTTCGCTTGATTTTGTCTTATTCTTTCTCTACACCTTGGTTTGTGTAAATAAATATCGCGACGTGAGATGGTAGCAACAGTGTTGATCACATACTGATGAAATGTCTAGGACCTACTGATAGAATGTATTGGGCGAGACAGAATGGCGGCAGTTTTCACGTATTCGTTTTACATTGACTATAATTTATTCCTATGCTTTCCTTGGTTCCTCGGATTTTTCTTGTGCAATACGTGTGGTTAAGTTTAATTCRAATTTTCACTTGATGCGGGAAGGAAATGGTCATTTTCGCGGTTAGAAAACAAGGCCTGTAGTTTTGCACCAAAGCAAGGCAAACTTGGGAAACAACCAAATATTGTACTTTCAGGGTTGTTCATTTTAATATTTTTTTTGGTAAAAACTTAATTTTGTCATTTTTAACCGAGAAAAGGTCATATTCCTTGTCAGTTGTTGATGTTATGCCAGCGACGTGCGTCGTCTCTATTTCAAAAAATTGTCATTTGCGCTAGTTTAACGCTAGTTTTTCCTTCTATTTTCAAGGCAGGAAGAGAAGATCGACCGAAGTTTGGTGGTAAGAAAAAGACCAAGATGAATGAGCATTCTAGTACAACAAATAAGGTATGAATAGCGACGGGAATCGTTACGTTACGCCGCGTAATTATGGTGAGTAGCCCGTTACGCACCGTAAGTGTTTTGGGTACCCCTATATAGCGCAAGGTCCCTATAGGGTGCTGAGTAGCCATATCTATCGTAACACCCCATAAGGGTGCTGGGTATTGCTGTTTTGCGTAACGCCCCGTAAGGGTGTTGGGTAGACCTAATATAACGTCCCTTAAGGATGCTTAATAGCCTTATCTATCAGGCGTAATCCCCCATAAGGGTGATGAGTAGCCCTATTTTACGTAACGTCCCGTAAATGTGCTGGGTAGACCTAATGTCTATCAGCCGTAATCCCCCATAAGGGTGATGAGTAGCCCTATTTTACGTAACGTCCCGTAAATGTGCTGGGTAGACCTAATGYCTATCAGGCGTAATCCCCCATAAGGGTGCTGAGGTTAGGTAGCGCACCGTAAGAGTCCTGGGTAGCCCTGATGTAACGTCCCCTAAGGGTGTAAGGGTTGTTGGTAAGGCGGGTCCATCCAATCCTTCGATTTCTGTATCAACCCATTGGGGTCTGCAGAGTATTCTTTGTGCGTTGTTGGAGGCAATTTCTGTGTGTAAATGACCGAGAAAACTTACTTTACACACTAAGCCTGTTTATAGAGTATGATTATAGTTTCATGATGTATACTTACGATGATGACGATTATGTGTGTTGGGCCATGGTAAGTAGTCAATTTTYTCTTCTTTATTTTTAGGAAAAAAGGCGAAAAAAGAATTTCATGATGATGCGCCATAACAAGAACGTTCGCGGTAAAGTCAAGCGTTCATTCCGAGATAAACAGGTAAAGAAAAGCACCTCTACTTGATTACAGTGAACTTTGATGAAGAACTATTACTAAGCTCAGGGTTTTGGCCTTAATGGTCTTATATAAGCACGGGATGGTAGTGAAAGGCTTTGCTTAGTCAGTACTGTTTTTTTTTCTTTTTTTTTTTTTTTTATTGCTTTGTTTTGTTTTAAATCATTTACTGTTCCTACATTTTTGTATTGTGCACAATATTTTGTTTCATTTCATTTAACAACGTTGATCGTCCCAGATCAGTTCTCTGCCCTCCTTTCGGTCTTCCTGTTAACCTAAGAAATCCTATACAAAGAGGGATTCAGAGGAGGAAGTAGGGTGTTTTTTTTCCTGTCAAAACAATGATTCGTGCTAATGGGAATCTCGAAACACATAGAAGTGGTCTTAGAAGATGATATTATGTCGCGTTGCTCAACATGTTGTCATGTTGCATGGCACCGAGGTAATTAATCAATTGTACAACATCCCCTATGACGTCATCGAGAACATCCCTTTGACGTCAATCGTACTGTTTACCGAATATCAAGAGAGTGTGTTTTATTATTACTGCCGTCAATCGTTAAGGAATAAGTACTACATTAGCACTTTTCGATACGTTTTCATTTGGGTATGAACGTGATTGCGCATTATTAGAACTTTTCAGCATTTTTCCTTTTTGCTTCTGTTCATGTTCTTCTCTTTTTTTAAATCTTATTCTATTTTGTACAAAGTGATATGTATTTTTCTTTCTCTGAATATCCGTATGAAGCTGTGTTTGAGTTGTATTTCCAGCTATTCTTAAAAATATATTAATTTCAACCGCAAAGCATCACCCTACCTCAAGTCATGACARCTATGAAAATACGTAAAAAARTAGARTTATCAAGTAAACAGATATACACGAATGTCTATTTTAATAGTCTTTGTTTGCCTCAATATATATAAATTGAGTAAATCGATATAAAATTTCTATGTTTGTAGAATCACAGGTGTTTATTTTTTATTTTTTTCTCGCATTCCAGTTGTTTCTTTTTGATAGATTTAAATACTCATTGAACACGCGTTGTCCAAGGAAATTGTGCAACAGAGTATGGGTTGAGAAAGAAATGGACTATTTATCGTGGGATTTGTTCCTTTCAGCAATGCTTCCCTTACAGCCTGTCATCAGAATTGACGACTAAACGAAGAGACGTTGTTCTTCTTTTAAAAATTCCTATTCGATGTCAACGAACGAATTCAGTTCGGGCATCTCAGACTCGAAGCTAAAGTAAGAAAGCGGCCATTATTGCGCCATTTTGCGTCTGCTAGCCCCGTAAGGACGACCAAGTCTGCAAAGGGCTAAATTATAGTTTCATAAGGCTGCTAATTTTTTTCTTCTTCTTCTTCTTCTTCTTCTTCTTCTTCTTCTTCT